TAATTCAAAGTCTTATATCATTTAAGTTTTATTCTGCTATCTTAAAAAATCGCTAAAACAATAATTAAAAACTTCGTGTTTGCTCTTAATTGAAGTGCAAGTGGCTATAGTAATGGAACTTTAGACTTTGTATAGAAAAAATGGCTATGGTTAGAAACATTTCTCCTGCTGGCTATGAGCTACATGTGCATACAGTTCCTTTACCAATAACTTGATACACATTCTTAGAAATTGCTTCAAAAGGAAACCATTGTAGAATTTATTGAGTTCAAGCTATGCCATGCCCACTTGTTTTATTTTTGTAACGCAATATGACGAGAACAACGTTAACTTTCCTCTGATAGTGTAGCCAGGTATTATCAGGTTAAATATACAAGCAAAAACTATAAAGTTGATGATAATGATAAGTACTAGAGAAATAGCCTATTTGATGATTTACTTGAAAAGCAAAACTGTAACTGTGATAAAACATTTCAGTACTGATAATTGTAAAAAGCGATGTTGTGCAAATTAGATATTAATCTTAAGACTTTAATTGTTACTATAAAGTCGATACACCTTGGCCAACATCACTGTTTGGTGGTTTGCTTGCAAACTATCTGTGCACCAATTATTCTACCATTAAGATCCGTCACCTGGTGCCAATTTGTAGAACTATAATGACGCACCTCCATAGGCAACATCGCCCTCTGTTATAACTGAAAAAAAAACAACTATAGATTAATTTGTTTTGCATCACGCTCTCAACATAACATCTGGTCAATTTAGTTACTTGGTAACATCAGTCAGAGCTTTTTACTTTAAAACGGGTTTGCTATGAGTGCCATGTTGACAGGAATATGGCTCATAATATTATTAAGTTTGGTTTTGTAGTAGTAGCATATAAGTAGTTAGAGCAATATTCATGCATAAAAAGGATGGTACCTCAGTAGGGAGACATCAGGTGAGAGGAGATCAACAGAGGCCTCTGTGGTTTACGTAATTATTATGTTATATGTATATAATCCCAACATCTGGGGGTTACATAGTTGTTATGTAATATACAAAGGTTGTTGCTGCCTGAGGGTTACATAACAGGCATCAGAAAGTGATGATCTTTTTGAGTAAGTTAATTGAAAAGTTCAACTAAAAGCCTATCGAATATGTGTTGTACGATTAAAGAGGGCTTTTTGCCAAAATACAACTGTTAAGCTTCCCTACTTACTATATTCAAATAATATATTCTATTGATTAGGAAAAGGTTTTTGCATTTACCAATATTATTTTGAATTTTGAGAAATTTGATATTATGGTTAGCTTGTGTGAATATTGGAATATATATAGTGGTTAGTATAATATTAGGCGTAACAGAATGAAAACAACGCAAAATAACAGCTACTTAGATGATAAATTGAATGCAAATTTAAAAGTTCATAGGATAAAAAGAGGGAACAATCTTATTTTATTTTAAAGTACTCAAAACACTGTATTTTGTTAATGTAAAATGTTTGCATAGAAGTTAAATAATGTTTTAGTAACTTATTTGTACATTAAGTTAATAATCAAAGAAGTCCTTTCAGAGCTCCCTATAAAAGTTTAAACTTGCGTATGGATAAATATATAAAATATAGAATATACCATACTGCAATATTAAACTTTTCGTTTGTAAATGGATAGATAAGTTATTACTAATATAACGTTCATCATGAACTTCTTTTAGAGATAACAAAATCGTCTGAATTTTTTCAGTCGGTGTAAGAAAGCTCAAAATGACGTCAAAGAACTCTGTTTTGTTATTATATATCTATATATATCACTTTAATAAATAAACTTAGTCAGATATAAACATATTACTGTAGTCATGTTTAATTTAAAAACTGATATCATCGCTTTTATGAGCGAGAATAATCAAACAAATAAACACCAAATATAAAATATCTCGTAAAGAAAACAACCATTGGTTATATTTTTAATCAAGTGTACACAGTTACATAATAAACAAAACTAACATTGAATAAAACTATTTAATTATAATCAAACTATATGAACTGGTTAATGCTATGGTGTATTTATAAATAATTTAATAAATTTCTATTGTGTATCGTAGTATATATTTTTACATTGGCTATCACTTTTTCTAAGTAGGAACATTTATTCTCCCCAACTAGTGATTATTTTTGCAACAGTTTAAACAAATGTTTTGTTTGTTTTTTTTCAGGACCTGGCAAGGCTAGGTGGTTAGGACGCTCGACTCGCAATCGCGGGTTCGAATCCTCGCCCCACGAAATATGATTGTCCTTTCAGTCATGGGGGGGTGTTATAATGGGACAGTCAGTCCCACTATTCGTTGGTAAAAAAGTAGCCCAAGAGTTGGCGGTGAGTTTAATAACTAGCTGCCTTCCCTCTAGTCTTTCAATGATAAATTATGGGCGGCTAGCGCAGATAATGTTCGTGTAGCTTTGCGCGAAATTCAAAAACAAACAAACAATCTTTCAATGCTAAATTATGGACGGCTAACGCAGATAGCCCTCGTGTAGCTGTGCGCGAAATTCATGCAAACAAACTTTTTCCGTAAAAACGTATAAAAATGCTCACCACAAGCGACATGAAAGCTATTTTATCTTTTTCTTTATATGTTTTCTAAGATTGCCGAATTTATTATTGAGTTAATGTAGTAATTAGGTTACAATGTGCTAATGTAATTTACATAAAGAACTAATGTTACGATAAAGCCTAATAAAAGGCAAGAGTGAGATAAAGTTAAAAAACAAGACCGCTGTCATAGAAACAAGAGCTGTGGAAGTGTTTAAAATGGCTGAAAAATGAAAGAAAATTAGCCTGTACACTAACTTGCCAAAAGTTCTAGACAATGCTTAGTAAACGCCGAAAGTATTCTTAAAGCACTATTATCAATATTTAGAAAACTAAGCAAATATCTAAAAAAAACTTCAGAATGAGTTAACTTTAAACCTAACTGATATCGAATTAAAATTTAGGCTTAAAAATAAACAAATTCGTGATGTGTCAGCTTAATATTATGTTTTACCTCTCACAGGGTTTATCCTCTTTCGATAATTACAGATTGATTTTTTTGCCTTTTTTTTGTAGAAATAGATTATAAAAGATATTTAATTCAATTACGTAAATAAGTTATATTAATAGTCCTAGGTAGAATTCAGCTTCGATTTTCAGTGTGCATGTGAAAGAGACACATTTTAACTTCTCTAATGCACATAGATTCATAGACGCACTAAAGGCTAGATCGAAAAATATTCTAATTTTTTTAGCAAATTCTTCAGAATACAATTTTAAACATGGTGTCAACAAAGGAAATATTTATTATTTAGGAGTAACTTTCCTAAAAATATGAAATGTTATTTTTCTATATGAAGTTCTGCACTTTAGGATAATTTTAACTTCCACTGAAGCAACTTTGAAATATCGTCGATCGAACTTTTATCAATGCGATATTTTTCTATAATTTGTCTTAATTTCTTGCTTATTCCCTCATGACTTCATTCGTACTTGAATGCCTCTAGCGAACCTCTTGAATTAAAGTGTAGGTTATCTGCCTTAATAGAATTGCATACATGTACCTATAGTAAGCTTTTGAACTGTATTCAACCTGTAATATCTGATAGCTTTTATAAAGAATTAAAATCAAAATTTTCTATTTAAACAATTTTAGAAACTTTATTGAAGCCATTAACGGCTTGCACTTTAAAAGCACACTCTACGTGTACATTGTTTTCAGATTTTTGACTGTATACCTGTATCTTCATCAAGCTGTCAAACTAAAATAAGGGTTTTTTCCGTTTGCAAGAATAGCGAGCTCTCTAAAATTTGAGTTAAAGGGTTAACTTCTGGCATCTTTTAATAAAGCACCTGTTTAAGAACTCCAATTACCTTGTTACATCACCTGTTCAACTATACTAAAAATGAGTTACTTTGGGAGAAATCTCTACCTGTCCTTTCAGTAAGCCGTTAAATTACAGCAGAAATAATTGGCATACCACAATTGTATACATATGTTTTCAGCATGCTGGTGAAATACAATATATAGGGATTAGAGCTATACTACAGTAGGGATTATTAGTTTAACAGAATTATGTAACCGAGTCTTTAGCGAAGAGCGTTACTACAGTAAGGATTAGTCGCTTAACAGAATTATTTAGCGAAGAGCTTTACTAAAGTAGGGATTAGTAGCTTAACTGAATTATATACACAAGTATTTAGCGAAGAGCTTTACTACAGTAGAGTTTATTAGTTTAACAGAATTATGTAACTGAGTCTTTAGCGAAGAGCGTTACTACAGTAGGGATTAGTCGCTTAACAGAATTATTTAGCGAAGAGCGTTACTAAAGTAGGTATTAGTAGCTTAACAGAATTATATACCCCAGTCTTTAGCGAAGAGCTTTACTGCAGTAGGGATTAGTAGCTTAACAGAATTATATACCCGAGTATTTAGCGAAGAGCTATACTAAAGTAGGGATTAGTAGCTTAACAGAATTATACATCCGAGTATTTAGCAAAACGGTGAATTACATATAGGAATTAATCGTTAAACATAGTTCTATGGCTGTATCTTCATCAAGCTACCAAATACAACCGAGCCTAGTTACTTAAAATACTCATATATCTACATCTTCGTCAAAATACAGTTTGAAAGCGGTCAATTATCAGAATTGTCTACCTGTGATTCCAGTGAATTGAATTACAGCAGCAACAATCGTCACGCAACTTCAGCAAATGTTCAACTGAAGTAACGTTTAGTCATTAAAAAAAAATATGAAGAATCGTGAAGAATCGCTTCACATTTTAAGTGAACTTTTCTAAAAGTTGTTTTATGATATCAGTCTTGTAAGATTTTCTGTATCTGGGTTCTCAGAATTCTTAATAAATAGGATTTGATTTTGAGATATTTTATTCTAAGTTGATTAATTTGAAAGTCTACTAAAAAGTGCATAAAATATTTACACATAGAGTAAATAAAAAAAATTAAAACTCATCAAAATGAAGTTCCAAATATTTCTTTATTATTATCATTTCTCTTATACCAGTAAAACAAACTTTTTCTACAATTTAGCTTTCTGTGATATCCTTTAAGTTGATGTACTATCGCTAAAGGTAAAATACAATTACATACTAATAACATGGAAGTTATAGCATTAAAAAACACGGGTTTAGGTCTGAAAATACTCGTTAATAAATAAATATATGCAACAATAACATACACACACAGAGAGACATCTCTGCTGTAGAAAAATATTAAGCTCAAAAATTATTACGCCACAAAAGAAAGTGCTTAAAAACTGCCCTAATCTTCTTTGGTTAGTAAAACTATCAAATAAAACGGTTATAAGTTATATTAAAATAAGTTAAATATAAACACATTGTATTACATCATTCTTCTGAAATAATGAACACCAACTAGTAAAAAATATTTGAAATTTCTATTTTTAGGAAACATTCGGAGAACCTTTTGAGTTATGGTTAAGATTGACAGCTGTTTTTCTGCAGACTTGGTAGTATGTTACATAAAGTTACGATTAATAAAATGCACATTTTAAGCAGTTTTCTTCCAATATTTAGTTTCTAAATTGAAGTACTTATCAAGTATATTTGATGTTCACGCAAAGCCTGAAGTTATAAAAATTAGAAAAACAAATGCTTTTATGTAAACATAAAAAAACGAATAGTTTTGAAACGTGTATATCAAAGTAACAAAACTATATAGCATAACTATAGATTAAGGTCTTACACAAATTACCATCTTCATTTCTTGAAGCCAAGTATGTCTCAGATTGCAGGTGGTATCAATTTCTAAGATATGATTATAGCAACACTCGTACACAGAAATTTGTATGCATAAGAGGAACCCATATTAATTTAGGTTTACATATGAGGAAAACAAATCGGCTTAATGTACTGTTTCAGAGTTAGCATTTAAGAAAAAAAAATCCAGGTCTCAAAGATAAAGCTCTGAATAATAACTTTCATCATTTCATATTGGGTAAACTATTATTTGAGATATAGAATAACTCCTGTCTGCCAAAAAGTCACATTATTTCTTAGTTCCACCAGATGGCACTATGGGCTCCTCTTGATGGTTTGTCACGACTGGAAAGAAACAGAAAACGTCATTATTCATTTCTACTTTATTTTAAAGTTTAAAGAATGATGATCGAAAATATTTTGAGTGACTTATATTTCACCCGTTTACAAGGAATCCTTTTGTAGTAACTTGAGGAACTTTTCCATAATACTAATAATTATAATCGTGGAAACTCAGTTTTTAGTAACGTAACGCCCCGAACAAAATTGTTTAACTACTTCGTCACAATTAACAAAATTTATTATCCAGGAGCTAAAGGAGAAAATGATATACAGATATTTAAACAAGTGCACTAATTAGGTAAAATTATGGTTTTAATTATTATAAAAAAACTAACACTTTTTATTTAGTTTGTTCTACGTTGTATTCTGATTTTTTATATACGTTGTTGTTAGATATTAACAAACTTTTTTATTCGATTACAATTACGTATTGTAGCTCAAAATACTGTAATAAAAGAAGAGTGTCTTGGGTAGTCTGAATTATGCGTAGCAAGAAATTGAAATGTTCATCCTGAACGCCACATTATGCGCATGTGGGCCAAGCGGCTAGATCAGAGATACCTAAGATTCGGGTATAGTTGTCCTTGATTTTGAATCACTGATCAAGTATAGGCACTCAACCACCAGCACCCATCGGCACAAGAGCTTCTTTCGGGCTCTTTTAACGAAATAACCGGATGGCTGAACGTGTTCAACATGTCGCAGATCCAAGTGTCCCCTCGACCCACAGCTCGACAATATCCGCTTAGCCATGTCAAGCCTAATAACAGGGAAGTCCTTGTATCTGTTGTCGGTGCACCATGATCGTTTACATATAAGTAAATTTTATTGTTGTTAAATAACATGATATAAAGGACTGTGTTCAAGCCTCTTTGTACACTTGTTTATTAATAATAATTATATATTCAGTATAAAGTAACAATCATCCTTTACGCTCCTATCAAATATACTTTACTTGTCGTGTTTTGAAATAAGATAAATTCTTCTGAATGAGCACATAAAATCATTAAACCCATTTTGAATCTTAACTGTTTTGAAAAAAAAAAAAAAAA